CAATTAATATTTACCCGATTGATCGATTTCACCATTACTGTGAGTATTGTTGAACGCCATTTTCGTTGAATTGCGACTTACTCTTCGACTTGTCTCGAATATGCACAAAGTACGATACGCAAAATAGTAAATCGCGGTAAACGGAAATTGTTCTCAATTTATTTTAAGCCACAGTCGGTTTCAATGATTGCAATATAAACTTTGAATTGTTTGCGTTAGATTACGATGTAATAAAGCAAAATAAATTCACACGAAAATTTGTTTTCAAATATTTTCCAGTCCCTTACGACGCCAAGGAACAAGTGCTAAAATGAGTGAAGCCGATGTCACTTTGTATTGCATGAATGTTATTAGAAAGACACTAGACCTGTCATTCCGATTGTTCAAAATGACATTCGCATACTAATGAAGCATTATTTGGCGCGCATATTGAAAAATAAGACAGCGCGCGCGAACTGACAGCATTGAGTCATTGGATGATAATTTGGTTAAATAAATGAAAATAAATAAGGTATGAAAACCAATTGGTTTTTCCATTCCTATCCTATTCTCAAATGTATGCATTCACAATCACAATTTGTACCGAGCATAAATTCCAAAGATCATTGGTTTGTGTGTCAATGTAAACTTATCCAAACGTGATATGATTAAGCGACACACACACATACAACGACATTGTGTCAAGAAACCAATATTCTCTCTTTTCGCTTGCATATTTTCATTCTTTAGTCAGCTGTCCACATATACGGTCGTTTGTACCCAGTAAGAATATAGAACTACGCAACAAATAACAGTTGAAACAGTGAATTGAATGTAAAAAAAGTTTTAAAAAAATTGTCCAGAAAAAGTGGTTGTTGTTTGCATTGTGATACCGAAAAAATTGTTGGCGAACAGTGCACAATGGGCATCAGAGGATTGATGGGATTTATCACGAAGAACAATTCAAACATTGTCCAAGAAATTGATATTCGCAATGAAATTGCGCAATGGCGAAGGTGAGTAATGAAGCGGCTTTAAGTCAAATTCAAACCAATAAATTGATGTGATAAAATAAACCGAATTGCAGTGACCATGGCAAGGAACCTACGATCGTAATCGACGTCAGATATTTGAACACAGTTGTACGAGAGCTCGATGAAGGAAGTTTAATTTTGGGCGGGCGATTTCAAAAATACAATGAAATCGTTGAATATTTCCTGGGCGAGCTGAAGAAGTGCGGCGTAAATTTGAAATTTTTCGCAAGATTAGCTGAAGGTCGTTTCAAGCATGTGGAGCATTTTGATTCAAACATCAATGCATTCGATTGCATGAAGCGATACGGGAATTTACGCAATTTCTCAAACACCAATCGAACTGTTCGACCCAATGAAAGATTTTGGTACAATTTGTTGCGTTTATGTGCCAAATACGGTCAAGTGGAAGCTCACTTCTGGCGTCATTGGTGGCATGTTAAGGATTACATCAAAGTTCATCAACGCGATGTGTTGGCCATTATGACATCGGAAACAAGGTTTTTGACGCTTGACTTGGACTTTGAATATTGGAGCCTCACAAATGTTCAGCTTTCCACTTTGAGAATCATGAAAATTTGTCGCAAAACATTGTATGATGTGCTTGGTTTGAGCCCGATCCAAATGCAATTACTGTCAACACTGTCGAATCTTAAAAATATCGACACACCGGTGCAACACTTTTTAAACAACCTAGAAGGTGGTGCCCATTCAATTTTAAGATTGTCTACGTACATCAAGAAGCAAGAAATTAAGACAGGTGGCTTCGATTTGAAGAAGATCGCTTCTGATATCTACGGGGACAGTCTAACTACGGAATTACTTAAGAATATTGAACAAAACTTCAAAACTAATTCCGACAACAATGACTTAGTTGCAGAGGTGCAACACAAATACGAACGGCATGCCGTAAAGTTGGCCAATGAAGATGCCGAATTCGAAACGTTCTTCAAATTTTGCAGCAATGAAATTTTTTTCGCATACAAGCTCATGCTTGAATATTCGTCGATTCCCAAAGATCTGTTATACATAGATGTGCGGCAATCAGACACCGGCCCGTTCATCGATTTAATGGTTGAAGTCACTCTCAAACTATGCGGCATCGCATTCAAAGACATAGCACTTGATAAACGACCCAAAACCCGTGTTATCAAAATTCAACGAGTATTTAACGAAGAGATTGCTGAAATCGAAGAGGATATCATCTATCCCGCATGTGAGTAACACCTATGGCAATTAAACAAAAGAATGACTTTTTTTACTCCATTTTCCCATCTAAAATTTTCTGATTATTTCCAGTGGCTTTGCCAACTCTCAACGATTTGATCATCGAGGAAGATAACCAACAATTTGCCGAGCCGCGTTGGTCTCTGTTGCAATGGTTGTTGGATTTGGACGGCAAAGACATTACATCGATCAAGAAAGCATGTGATTCAAAGTACATCCGAATTGTTCTGATCACGCTGAAATTCTTGCTATCGGTAAGTTCTGAATGTTATCGCTTAAAAAGTTGCAAAATTTTCCTACCAACCAAAAACGTAACGTTCATTTTTTATGAACCCAAATAATAACTGCCATTGACTTGAAATAGCACGCCATCATTTCAACGCATGAAGCTGATATTCTCATGTTGACCGAATCAGATGGCCGCAGTAAAAATAATGTTTATGTGCCAAAAAGCTTTCGGCCGCCACCTCCGATGCCAAACTGGCGCCATCCGGAATACGTCGCTATGTCATGGGTTCAGACCGCTCATAAATACACCATTGCTTTTGACCTGGTTCGCCACTGTCTGGAACTGTGTGGCTTACGTAGAGAAACGGTGAGATTCATCAATTGAATGGTCATTTCATTACAAATTGGTTATGTTTATGTGATGTTTGGCATTTGCATTACAGGATTCCATCCAATTTGACGCTTTTGAATTTCACGCCAACATGCATCAATCGGAAAATGACAACAGACAAATCCAACGGATGATGACTCGAATGAAGAACATTCGCTTGTGGTGAATTTGAGAAAAAAATTCTGGATTTTTATGCAAATTCATACAAACCAAACAAATCGCCAAATGAATACGATTTGCAAAACATCTTTTTTTCGATGGCCTGCATTAGAACCAAAAACATTAACTCAACTTTGAATTGCATTCGACGCTATCGTTAGGATGATGAAATCATTCCAATTTTCATATATATAAACACAATTTTCATTTGAAAATAAATCGTTCATAGGTGTAAAATTCATTCATTTGTCATGTAAAATCAAAATAACATACAAATACATTGAAATACACAACAATTTGATGTAAATTGATGAGAGAAGTCATCATAAATGATACAAATTTGAGGTTATAATACAAACAATATCAATAAAACACAGTGTTGACAGAATCAGTCAATGACAGATTGATTTGCATATCGGCAACTTGCTTTTTCTTAATACCTTCGTGTTGCAGTCGCGCCATTTTAGTATACTGAGAACCATCGATGCAATCATTTTAATTCACACATAGTGAAACTGATGAAGTATTTTGTAATAATTGTCCTAAACTATAATCGAACTGTGACCAATTAGTAAACGTCTTTGTGAATCGTCCAATATTGTCCAATTTTTATACTTTTGAATAAATACTGCCGTTCAGTAGAAAATGGGAATCAAAGGTTTTGAAAAATACATCATATCAAACGTTCACAAGGGGTTCGTCGAACAAATTAACATTCGTGCTGAAATTCGAAAATGGCGAGAGTGAGTATTTTCCTTTTGGATTTTCATTTGCTATGATGAAAACGTATCAATTGATTAAATCTGAAACAACAATTATAGAGAGCATGGCAGAGACCCAACAATTATCATCGACTTGAAAGAGTTGAACCGAGTGCTCGGTGACCGAGTCAATCGACATCAAACGTTCGAAATGGCTCTGTTCAATGGTGGTCGATACCAAAAGTTTAATGAAATTTTGGAGTACTTTTTTGGCGAGATGAAAATTTCCGGTGCCAATTTGGTATTCATCGCCAGATTGGATGAAGGTAAATACAAAGATGTTAAGGCATTTAAATCGTCATCAGCGCGCCCGAACGAACGCATGTTATTCAATATGTTGCATTCGATTTGTTCGAAATTTGGTGAGGTGCATGTTTCTTATGGTTTGAAGAAGTGCGCCATAGTGGCATATGTCCACCAGCATCGAGACAACATCATGGCGTTAATCACTCGTGATACGAATTTTTTGGTGTTCAGCGATGTTTATGAACTTTGGAGCCTAAATGAAGTTGACTTTCGGTATTTGAAAATCGCAAGATTCGATCGCAACCGTATCTATCGCGATCTGAATTTGAATGCTCAACAAATGCACCTGATGTTGGCCATTAATGAACTCCAGCCAAGTACGAAACGTAAACTGGTCGGAGACAGAGATGGAAAATTGCCTGCTTTGGTTAACTACGTGAGACCATTGCAACTTCGACGTAATGGTTATGACATCAATCTGCTCACTGCCAACGCCGATCTGAATGAAGATGAGCGAAATGAGCTAGAAGTTGAAATAGCCCATATGCTGAGCGTTATCAACTACTCCGACAATTTCAATGAAGACATTTACGAGGGACTGATTCTGGACTTGGTGAACAATGACGAATCGTTCAATAGACTGTTGCAATTATTCAAAGAGAATATTTACTTTGCATACAAATTGATGAACGAAACGTCCACTGTTCAAAAAGATTTGCTACTCATTGATATTTGTCGCCCGGATGCAATGCCATTCATTGACTTGGTAATCAATGTGACGATGCGGATGTGTGGCGTCATTTTCATGGATGTCGAAGAAGATAAACAACCAAAAACTCGATCGGTTAAATTCCAACGGGTTCGTGGTGAACCAGCTGTTCAATCGGAAATGGAAATCATTTATCCACCGAGTAAGTAGCATTTGGAACTGAACGACATTTTTGTGAACCAAAAAATTATTTTCTTTTGACTTTTTCCTCTAAAAAATGTATCACTGGCTTTGTTATCAAATCTCTCATTATTTCGATTCAATTCAAATTTTCACAGTGCAAATGACAAGTTTGATCGAACTCATTGTGGAAGAGGACTGTAAATCAGTCGATTGGTGTCGTTGGTATCTTCTGCGTTGGTTGCTCGACGTGCCCAAAGCACCAATAACCAAGATAGAAACGTCACAATCTTCAAAATACATGCGAATTGCCACATTGACGCTGGATTTCCTGAAACATGTAAGCCAATTGTTTTTCTTCAAAAAAAAGCGTCAAACACGATATGTGTCGATCGATAAATGTCGATTCTCAAGTGATTTTCAAGATGATTTTCAATGAAATTCTGTTTTCTTTTTCAACAAAATAGCATGGAATAATAAGAGGCCGTGAAGCAAACGCTATTCTGGAAGTCGAATCGAGTGTCCAAAGTGCGACGAATCCACGGACCAGCCGCACGCCACCACCGAAACCGCAGTGGAAATGGGACGATGCAGATGCTTCATGGGTTCAAATAGCACACAAATACACCATCACCTTCGAGCTCATTTGCCACTGTCTCGAAGTTTGCGGCCTACGAAATGAAACGGTAAAATTCACCAAATTACCTTGAATTGCAATGTACTCATGCATGTGGAAAATGCGTTTCTTTCAGGCCCTCATTCAGTTCGATGCATATGAGCTATATGCACGCCGTGCATAGTACGGAAAATGACACAACACCATGGTGAGGCGATTTAAAAACGATCGTGGATCGATTGCAGGACTTATTTTCATTAAATAACCAATTTTCAAGTCGAAAATGTCGCTGCTTAGATTAAGTAATTAAAGATAATGATTAAGACGAAAAGATAAAGAAAACTCAGAAGATTAGAATCTCAAAACATTCATTACATTCAAAGTCCACCCAAATTTGATTTTAGACTATCATAGACAATGATACTTTTAGTAAATTTGGTTAGGTAATATGACTAATATTACTTTCAAGAAACAAAACTTGTTTTTGCTCAAGAGAGAAAAAAAAAACAAAGATCCAATGTAAACAATGTAATGATTTAATGCAAACAAACAGTGTTTGTTAGCTCTGTCATTTTTAGGTTTTTGTGTCACATACAGAAAATATTGACCACAGCAGAATTATTTTTCTTATAATAACATTGCTTCTGGAGGCTCAAGTAAACATGCATAGATATAGACAGACACCCACTAGTACACACATAATATTCATTTCAGTTGGAAATCTGTAATTTATAACATTGATCGATTAATTCTATTTTGAAAAATCCTAACCGAAAAATCATATTCTTTCTATGCGATATTTTGTTGCTATTGTGCTGCCACCAATGGGATTTATTTGTAACAAATCATTCGTCATTCAATCACACCAACCTACTGCAACACTTTCAAACATTGGCCGTGCTGTTGTTGATCGCACTGAGTCACGATTCTGCGATTTAGTCGCACATACACACATAAACATATTTCACATTGTGAGTCTTACTCAACATCTTCGTTCTTTTCTCAACGGGACTCTTACACGAATCGACATGCTCTTTCAAACTGACTATTTCGCAATAACAGATTTTGAATAAACTTTGCAGCAAAGAATATATATTTTCTTGAAACTGATTAGCTTTCATTTGTTTTGTACCAATCGTGAATCGTATCATAAATATACATTTTTATGTCCAATTAAAATAAGTGCAAATAAAATGGGGAACATTCATTGTTTGGAAAAGTTTTGCATTTCAAACAACGCAATTGCTGAAGAGATTGATATTCGTGATGAAATCGCAAAATGGCTACGGTAAGTAATTCTAATGTTGAATTTTGGATTTTTTTCTTTTTTGAAATACTAAAGCCTTAAAAATATGACCACAGTGAACATGGTGAAAATCCAACGATTATAATCGATGTGAAAGAGTTGAATCGAGTGCTTTCGAATCAACAATTGCTTCACTCATTTGCCAGTGTGTTGAATCTGGGCGGCCAATTCTGGAAATTCAATGAAATATTGGAATATTTCTTTGGTGAGATGAAAAAGGCCGGCGCAAATTTGGTGTTCATTGCACGATTGAAAGAAAGCCAATTCCAAGATATCAACAAATGCGAATCATTACATTTGAATCCAAGCGAACGCTTACTCTACAACTTGATGCAAATCTGCTCGAAATATGGTCAATTGTCGGTGAATTATGGCCTGGGTAAGAGTCAATTATCAAGTAGTCTTTATCAAATTCAATATGTTTTCATTACCGCTCATCTGTTCTTTCGTGGTTTTCCTTTCAGGTGAGAGTTCAATTTTGGCTTATGCAAGACAGCATCGCGACCAGGTCATGGCATTGATTACACGCAACGCACAATTTTTGGTGTATGACATTGATTTCTCATATTGGTGCCTCGCCAATGTCAACTTCTACGATCTCAAAATTCTGGACATCTCGCCGAAACAGATGCTACGAACCATCGCATTGAACTCAAAACAAATGCAACTCGTATTCATACTATCCGAGCTCAAAACGAATATTAAGTTGAATCTGGTTGGAAAACAATGCCATAAACAAAGCCGTATGATGGACTTTGTGAAGTCATTGAAATATGGTGAAAATGGATTCGATCTAGATCAATTGGCACATAAGTTGAACAAAAAAGAACGTGATGATCTGGAAGATAAGCTGAACCGTGTATTTGCCGTAAACGAATACGCTGGCAATTGGAATGAAGACATTTACGAGGGACTGATTTTGGATTTGGCAAACAATGATGAATCGTTCAATTTGGTGTTGCAATTCTGCAAAGAAAACATTTATTTTGCATACAAGTTGATCAATGAAAAAGATTCGACGCAAAAAGATCTGCTGTGCATCGAAGAGCGACGAGAAGAGGACGCGATTTTTCGTAGCCTAATGGTAACCATAATGCTGAAAATGTGTGGAATCCTATTCAAAGATGTTGATCCAAAGAAACGTCCAACAATTCGCACCAATCGGAATTTTGGTGACATTTATGTCACATCTGCAAATGATATCATTTATCCAACAAGTGAGAATTTTCCATCGCATTCAAACGTTCATATAGAAAATTGCTGGTTTTTATTTGATTTTCCTTATTATTTTCCATCTATTTGTTGCAGTGCCATTGCCAAGTCTCAAAGAACTGTTGGTTGAAGAAGATAACATGCGGTTCGACAATTCACGCTGGTCTCTTTTCAAGTGGCTGATTGGCTTGAACGAAGAATCAATTTCGGACATCAGATCTTCGAATGACTCCAAGTTCATTCGCATTGTTTCATTGACGCTGACATTTTTGCAATTGGTAAGATGAACATATTCCATTCTGTTATCACAATCGCAATAACAGCAATTTAAATGTGTTTCTATCGACTTTACAGCATAAGATCATCTCGGCTCATGAAGCGAATACCATTCAACAAATGGAAATGGAACGAAACATTAAAACTGAACTTGATCTACCAAGAGGAACATCGCCACCTTCAAAGCTGAATCAACGTATCCCTAACATTAACGGTGCATGGGTTCAAACGGCACACAAATACACAATTGCCTACGAGATGATTTGCCATTGTCTTGAAGTGTCCGGCTTAAGAAAAGAAACGGTAAGATTTGAATAAATATTCAACAATTTCGCAATGTTAAAAAGAAGCATATTTTTCAGGCACCGATTTTGTTTGATGCACCCGAATTCAATGCACGCATGCAACGAATGGAATGTGACTCGAAGCCGCACAAGATGCTAAAGATGGAAAACTTCTGACTATGATGGCCGTGGCATATCAATTACTTTATTCAACAAACATTTAATCTTTAAGCTAATTTTTTTTACACAATGTCTCGATAAAAAAGACAAAAAAGACATTATTTCTCTTCATTTTATAGAATTGAGTAAATTACGAGCTGATATTTTTTATATTACAATCTATATTTTGACTTGATTTTGTGTTAACAAGTTCATTCAAGAAAAATGAATAACATTTTTACATTTAAAATGTAGTTCGTGTGAATGCGATCATATTGAGAAAATTCAAATAAAGCGCCATTCCGATCAAATCATATCTTTTCATTCATTTACCTTCAGTGTCACATTGAAACCAATACAGAGACATTCCATAAGGTAGTAAAAAAGCCAATGTTTGTATTCAAGCGATGTTTTTCGGTTGCTTTGCAGAACACTAGTTGCACACATTTGCCACACACACTGCGATATATTCTGTTGCTCTTGTGCTTCCACCACCGTATCAATTTGTGACAAATCAATCGTCACTCAGTCACATCAAGCTACTGCCACACTTTCAAACATTGGCTGTGCTGTTGTCAATCATTCTGATTTACTGCGACGTAATTACACATACACACACAAACCTTTTTCACACTGTGAGTCCTACTTAACGTCTTCGATCTTTTCTCAACGAGACTATCACACAAATGGGCGTGCTCAACCGATTATTTTCCAATAACAAAGGCTAAATATAAATTTTCTTCAAATAATCAGCTTTTCAGCCAATCGTATCGTAAAAGTCTACGTTTACACAGAAAAAATGGGAATTTCGGGCTTGGAAAAGTTTTGCATTTCAAACAAAGCCATCGCTCAAAAGATTGATATTCGTGACGAGATTGCAAAATGGCGACGGTGAGTTATTCAAAACAAATTGTTGAGCATTTTCCCAATATTAATGTTCAAAAACAATATCACAGTGAACATGGCGACGATCCAATGATTATAATTGATGTGAAAGAGTTGGTTAGAGTTCTTGGAGATAGATGTTCCGATCATTCATTTGCACGGGGATTACGTCTTGGCGGCCAATTCCGGAAATTCAATGAAATTTTGGAATACTTCTTCGACGAGATGAAAAAGGCCGGCGCAAATTTGTTGTTCGTCGCACGATTGAATGAGGGTCGATACAGAGATTTTCCCAACCGATGGGAATCATCGACTTTGTATCCCAACGAGCGCTTGCTGTACAACTTGATGCAAGTCTGCTCGAAATACGGTCAGGTGTCGGTGTATTATCGGCTGGGTAAGCGTTCGATTTTGTCATATGCACGAGAACATCGCAACAACGTCATGGCATTGATTACACGTAACGCACCATTTTTGGTCTATGACATTGATTTTTCGTTGTGGTGCCTCTGCAACGTTGATTTCTTCGAACTGAAAATTGTGAAAATCTGCCCCAAACAAATGTTGCAAGCCATTGCATTGAACTCAAAGCAAATGCAACTCGTTCGGGCCATTTGCAAGCTTGATAAGAGCGTAAAGTTTCGACTTCTGGGAAAACAATGTAGCAAACTGGCTTTTTTGGTGGAGCGCGTGAAACCATTGGAATTTGGTAAAAATGGATTTGATTTGAATGGATTTCCTGGATCCAACGATTTGACCGAAGAACAACGCGATGAGTTTGAAGAAAAACTGAATCGTGTATTTGCTGTGAACGACTACGCTGCCGATTGGAATGACGACATTTACGACGGATTGATTTTGGATTTGGTGAATAATGACGATTCGTTCAATTTGGTGTTACAATTCTGCAAGACGAATCTTTACTTTGCATACAAATTGATGAACGAAAAGCTCACCATTCAAAAAGACCTTTTATTTATCGACATTCGTCGACCGGATGCATTGCCTTTCATCGACTTGGTGATAAGCGTGACAATGAAGCTGTGCGGAATCATTTTCAAGGACGTTGAGCCAGACAAACAGCCGAAGACTCGAACCGTGAAACTGAAGCGAATTTTCGGGGAAGAAGCCGTTGAATACGAAGTGGATATCGACTATCCAACGAGTAAGTATTTGTCTTGTCGTTGGGTTTTTTGATAAAAAAAATTTACATCTAAAGATAGAAAATTTGAAAATTCCTTGTTTCCATCATTTTAATTGATTGGAATTCATTCATAGTGGTATTGCCGAGCCTCAAAGAACTGCTCATTGAAGAGGAAGACAAATCGTTTGATCTGTCCCGTTTGTCACTCTTGATGTGGCTGTTGGATTTAAGCGAAGAGACGATGTCGAAGATCAATAGCTCAAAGAAGCAAATGCGAATCGTTCTGTTGACATTGAACCTGTTGCTAACAGTGAGTTGTCTGTTTTCATAGAATGATTCGAATCGTTTCGCGATTAGAACTATTTTCCTCAAATTGTCCCACTAACTCAAGTTTGTTTTTGGAAATAGCATCGAATCATCACCACCCATGAAGCCGATATTCTTCTATTGACGGAATTTGATGGTCACAGCAAAGGAAATGTTTACGTTCCGAAAAGCTTCCGGCCACCACCATCGAAGCCAAACTGGCGTTATTCGGGTCACGTCGATATTTCATGGATTCAAACGGTACACAAGTATACGATTACCTACGAGCTTGTGTGTCATTGCCTTGAATTGTGCGGGCTACGTAAGAAAACGGTATGATTGCAGGATATACATCCATCCTAAGTTTAAATCACTTGTTTGAAAATGCTTTCCAATTCGAACGCCATTGATTTGAAAATGTTTTTCTACAGGATCTCATCGAGATGGACGCGGGCAAATTCCATGACAATATGAACCAAGTCAAAGATGGAAACAATAACGAACAATTCGAACGTATGATGGCACTAATCAAGGACATTCGCTTATGGTGAATAAAATTCACTCAAATGTTCTTCGCATGTTGTACTCACAGCTCCAGCCGAACCATTTTTATACAAAAACTCATTCAATTTTTCCGCATTACTGATTATTATGTTATGACACATACAAAATATATGTGTAGAATTTTATAACACAAAATATAAATGTTGAGCAAGACCATAGGCAATTTTCAATAAAGTATAAATAATAGTTCGCATGTGAACACTAAATGAGGTCGTTGTTTAAATGATTAACCATTAAATGGATTTGTTTATCTAGGTCTGTAGTATGCATTGAAGCACTTGCATGCCTACAAAGCTCAACCAAACAGCAAATTATGATGTCATCTAAATCTCTCGTTTTGAGATTGAATCAAATTTCGACTCAATTTCTTTACTCCGAGATCAGCTGTGCTAAAACACTCTTGTCCAATGTATCAAGACCAGATCACGAATTTCTATTTATTGCTATTTCGTAGAATGTATCGCGTGCCTCAATTCTGATCAGATATTTTGAATGTAATTTAAAAGTTGCACATGTTCAGATTTTTATCATAAAATAATTCAACAAGAAGTTGGGAAAGGACAGTGGTTGCAATTTGAATGCAATATTTTTTGGAATCTTTATTGACTAATTGTTATGAGTATAAGAAGAGTTATTGTAATTTGGGTTAATGTAGTGAAATAGATCGCTTAAGAGTTAAGTTTCAAATGAAAAACTAAATTGCTTTCAATTCTAGGGGCGAGACACGAATTCTATTAGAGTCTAGTTACATTCAATTTCATATATTTTTTGCTTTATGTCCTCTAATTTTTCTAGTTTTGGTGCAAAAGTGTTAATATTGTGCTATTATTTCTAGTAAAATCGCTTGCAGAGCGTATTACACTGTGAATACAATGCTTATGGAAGACCTAACGGGACTATTTTGTAAACAATAAACAATACGTCCATAAGCGTTAACATTGGCAAACCAAACTCACTAATTTCTCCTATTTTTCCTATTATCGTTGAATAATGTTCTAATTTTACTCATTTAAGTTTCGTGTCTCCCCCCCTAGTTTCAATTGCATTCAATATGTCGCCGTTTTCTCTCTGACTGAAGAGGATGTTCCAATTTGGGTCTTTTCGGATTGCGTGGACACTCGAAGTAAGTACAGATGAAATTCTAGAAAAATGTCAAACAGGATGAGAAACAGTTAGAATCATTATCATCTAGCTCGGTGGATGTTTTGAAAAAAAATCAAAACAAAACCATACATACAATGTCACTTTGTGTTCCAGTTATTTTGATGAAAATCGCCGGGCGTGGTGCAAAGTCAAAGTCTTGCCATCCGGTCAGGTATTCATTTCTTTTATCAACGGTCATTGTCCAAGTCTCTTTGTCCATAGATGTCTCGATCAAGAACAAATACTTTTTTGAATGATTCATGCTGTTTCCAAGCAGCATTCGCAATGAACCAATGTAGTAGGGCTGGTTGAATTGTAATAAAATGTATCGATCTTTCTCGTGGCATGTGAATTCATCGGGATTCAAGTTCAATATGTTGACTCCGCCACCTCCTTCTACATTAGCACCATGTTCAACTTTAGCAACGTTTGCCGTTGGTTTTATAACGCCATCAACCAATTCTGGGAAGTTAGTTGTTTTATGGATTGCTTGCAATCCAACAACTTCAAACGAATAATAGCCATGATATGATGCACGTCCATCTCCTCCTCTTGCATACCCGTATCGAACCAAACGAGTAGCTCGTGTTCCGATCAATTTAATGAATCGAATTGGGCGTGATTGAAAATATAAATATTGCCAAGATCTATAGTTGTGGTTGCTGTGATCAAACAATCGTATGTACTCTTTTCCATCAGCGGATACGTCAACGTAATATGAATACGAACGATCGCCCATTAATAACATTTTTATATAATTTATGAATGTAACTTTTCCGAGGTCTACAGTTATAGAATTACTTATTGGTTTGGATAAGCCGGAATCATGATACTTCTGGCTGTCAGTTATTGCATGATATGTGGAACCTAAATAATCTAAAAAAAAGAAAAATCGGGTATTTCAATACCTTTGTGTTGAACATGCGAATAACAAAATCTACTCATATTACCTGAACCAAAATTTAAATTGCCTCTAAATATACCGCTTAAAATTGCCGATGGATTCTCACCGGAAACAATTTTTGCGCCGTGTTCGGCAGTTGCAATATTTTCTTCGACATCTTTTTGCGTGTCTTTAAAAGTAAACAAAAATAAATTACGCTCAAGTTTAAAACACACACTATAAAAAACTATGATTTAAAACTATTGACAGATGCCAATGCTGATATAGGTTAATAGGCATATTTCAATAAATCAAATCGAATCGTTAATCAATTGCTATTGATATTTCCACCATTCTACTGATAAATGTTAATTAGCAGGCAAATAATTAACATTTCTAATAATTTTTAAGTTTTTGTAGTGCAATAACAAATATTCTTACTTAGACTATGGTATTGGGTACGGCCTGCTGTGCCACTTGATGCCCGATTATCTTTCATCACATGCCAAAGTTGAGCTGGATCCAAAATATTGCTTGGCTCAACAATATTCATATAATCATCCATGCTCAGTTCTGACCAGCGAACTGTTGAAAGCGCTTGCTAGATTTTCACAAGAAAGTAATTTAACTATTTTCATAATATCGATCAATCAATATGAGCATACTTTGACGTCAGCATCTGAGTTGTGTGCTAACCAATTGCACACCGCTTTGAAAATATCGATCTCGAGTGCGTAGAATGAATCGCGTTTCAGCAAAGTGCACAAGGAAGTGAGTGATAACGCCAGGAAACTGTCGCAGCCAAGCAATTCCATGGAATGACTATCCATGAACTTCATGCACGCTGTTTGTAAATCTTTGATGGAATATAAATGCGCTGCATTGAGTATCGATCCGCAATTGTCCAATGTCAGATTGGCCGTCAAGTAATCCAAAATGATCTTCTTCATCGATGCACTGAAGTCATATTGCTCAGCCAGATCATAAACTTCGATAATTTGATGGCTCTCTAAGGCGGCCAGCGATAGACAACCGGTGTACATGTATTTCAAGATCGCTTTGAAGGCGTTCACCGGAACTTCCAATTCGACTTCTGCTTGGGCTGACTCAGCGAATGCACCACCAAACAATGAACGAAAATATGAACTTCGGAGCGACAAGATCGTCTTGTGCGCCGGGATCTTCTCGTTTTCGACAACGAAGGTCACATCTGCATGTTCATCGTTCATGCAAATATCACTTAAGAGTTGCAAAATTTCATCTGTTTGCCGTAAAAATGGAGAATGAACAGAAAATCTCGGAATAGAAATTAGTTTCAACGAGAAATTTTGGTTTTCGAATTTTCCATTTCAATTAATATTTACCCGATTGATCGATTTCACCATTACTGTGAGTAT